GTTGACCCCATGGTTTATAGAATCTAACTGATTGTGTTTTTTCAGATATATGGTGATTGTTTTTAGGTATAAGAGTTCTATATTGAGGACATTAAAGTCTTCGTAAAGCTTTTCGGTTGGATATCTCCAATTATGATCGATTTGAAGTTTTATATCTCATAAATATCTCATGATTCACAAATTATTATATCACTGAAATTAATCATTCAATATATAAAATTCTAGTGGATATTGTGAACATGATAATAACTTATTATTTTTTTTTTTTTTTGTACAATATCTTTATTTTAAACAAAATACTTAATAAAATCTTCTGTATGCTACTTCAAGACACCAGTTGTGACATCTGAATTGTTATTTTTACCAAACATTCTCTACATCGTTTACTAATTTTGTAATGCAATGAACTGTCAATACCTACCTAGTTATAACTTATAATGAAGTTCAAAGTTACATTTTTTAGTACCCTTCATATCCATTTGTATCCAAGTTCATAGTTTCTCTCATAAGATCAAATATAAAACTTATAAAGACTTACCCTTATCACTTTCTATAAAATCAATTAAATAATTTACTATAAATAGTTTAGTTTCTAGTAGAACCATCATAGTTGTTAAGAGGACGCCACACCCGCATGTGCTGTCTCCGTCCTACAATTAATGTACAACATAGCAAAAACTGTTAAACGCGGGACAACTTTTCTCGCACCATATTTGTTGTAGGATTACCTAATTTTCACAACACGTAAAGAAGAAATTTATCTGTGTAAAAGCGTGCTTTTTTTTTAATTACACTTTTCAATCATTTTTTTATAAGCAAATGAAAAAAACAAAAAAACAAAATGTTTAGAAGCAAATAAACTTTTATTGTATTTATGTTATCTAAAATATAGGCACTCTGTTGGCTGTTGCATAGATAATTTTCAACTCGATATGATCAGAAATTTTGGAGCCACTACTACAAGCACAGAAAGATAAAAGTTGTCCCGCGCAAAACAGTTTTTGCTATGTTGTACCTTTGTAAGACGGAGACAACACATGCGGGTGTGGCGTCCTCTTAATTGTAGTTCTTTTTCGTTTTAAAAAATTAATTGGTATTCCAGTATTTTGTTTCGCGATCGATCTTAGTTTTTATTATGGTTCTCGACTTTTCTCGTCATGTGCTGTTGATCATCTGTATTTTCTGCAGTTTTATAATCTTCAGTAAATCTCTATTTATAGTTTCAGGAAAGTCCTCACATGTGCCTGCCTTAAAAATGTATTTAAAAAAGTACCCCAATATGACAAAGTAGATCGTAAACAATTATGGGCGGCGTCACTTTTTTTTGCAAAAATCCATCTTTATGTTTACAGAAAATAAATTTTATAATAAATATTTCCATTTTCGTCCATCACAAATTGCAATTTTATAATTTGGTGACCCCTTATTATAAAAATTGAAATATTTCAGTAAGAAAATGATGAAAAATAATTTTAAAAATTTAAATAAATATGTATAGTTAGTCAGTAAGGTATAATAAGAATTTTGAAGTTGAACATCTATAAGAGATTGATAAAATATAATATTAATAAATAATAATATATATTAAAATTTTAAAAACTAATTTGTAAAATTTAATTTGACATGGCACCTGCGTTTTAATAATATAGTATTACAGTGAATTTACCTATTATCAGACTTATATGTTAAGACATTATATATAATATTCTCTCGTTGGTTTTATACGATATTTTAATTTTTAAGTGAATTATAAGCATTTTCAAAAATTAATATTTTACTTACTCATAACTCATTTAAAAATTAAAATATCATAAAAAATAAAGGAGAAAACACAGACAATGTTGTTGCCTAAAAGTTTGATTGTATTTCAATTCACTTCAATATTAAAACTAACAGCACACTTTTGAAACTAGTGACTGAAAATTTACCGTGTCATATGTGTGTAGGACGGAGCAACACATGGGATCACGACATCTCTTAAATTTTACAAATAAGTATTTTTACAATAAGATAATTTAACTATATGGCTATAATTGAATATTAATCCTATTTTGTAATTTACATGTATAGATTTTTTACTAATTTATTTATATAAACTTCATTATGTTATGTCATATTTATGTAGGTACCTTATTCGTCTTACCTAGATAGTTTATATTTATTACTTATTTACTTGATTTTGATATTGAATAATACAGTATGCAAGTTATTATGTGTACAAAGATACGTTATTATTTGTTTAATTTATAAGTATTACACGAATGAGTTATTTTAAAAAATATATTTAATTAATAATAGACAATCTAATGATTTTTTTAATTTAAAAGTCATTACCATTTATCAATAACCTTACATGTTTTCTTAGTAAGGAGTTAAATAAATAGAAAAACTAAAAAAACTAAAATTTGTGGTGGCAGAAAATGGAAATAAATATTATTGTACTGGCAGTAAACGGAAAGGCAAATTATTTTTTTTGAAAAGTGGATGACCCAGACATAGGTACATCGGGTAGGTTATCTATCTCCTGTGAATTTTGGACTAAATGAACTATAGTAAATGCAATAAATTCGATAAGCCAATGAAGCCGATTAAGAAGAAATATCAACAATATAAAAAATGTTATACATTACCTATGCTTTCCTGACCTTTATTTTAGATGATCTATAATTCTAAGAATATGCTGGCCAATATGCACCTAATATACCTACATGAAAATACCTAAGGGATATGCAAAGGGTATACTGAAATACTGTAGCAGTTGTCGAGTGCACCCACAGCGGGGCTCATTTGCCTCAGTTGCAAATCTTCAATAGTGGTTGTCAAAATAATTGGCTGACAAACGTATACACATAATAATCTATTTGAATCATACCTAACATTATTCAACAGCTTACCAACCCGATTATACTCATTGATGTATTATAATTTATGACTGTAATATTGATGTGTTAAATTCGAATTCAATCGTTAATCGTTCTTTACAATGCAAAACGATTCTAACCTGAGATTGTCTACATTTCTAAGAATAAACTGAACATATATATACATACAACAAAATTGATTTTGAGTGGAGACTATAGTATGAAGAGCTTATGGTGTTTTTTACCGTCGATTTTTTGGTGTTATGCATTCTGTACAATAATTTTTATATAGTTTAAAAGTAATTTATTTTTAATTCTAAGCAGAGCGACGAATGCTTTGGTTTGAAATGATGTGTGCGTGTGCTTTTTTATATTAAACCAGAAAAAAACGGTTCAAACGTCTAATTTAAAGATGGTGTCTTGTAACAAATTGTAAGTTGTTCGTACTCCACGAACCTACAACAAGAGGAGAATTATAATAACAACTAACTATCTAAGCTCTAAAAAATGTTACAGATTTGAAAATGTTATTTTCTCTAATTCCCAATTGATGAAAAAACAATTTAAAAAAAAGAAAAATATTGCTTTTGTAAATTTACCAAGAGACTTTCAAACAAAAATAAATTAAAATACCAATAAAATAAAAAATTTAAAAAAATTTTCATACCACTCACTGCAAAATAAATCATAAAATAGTAATTAATAACCTTATTTAGGTATCTAAAAACATGGAATCAAAGGTATAGAATGAAACAAGTACTGTCAAATATTAACATAATATTGTTCACTCATCTGAAAAAGAAATCTTTCAGGAAATAATTTTCTACTAACAATATCATTTAAGGCTTCGGATTCGGTTAGCTATTATTAACAACTTTTAGAATATCAATGTACTTAATGCCATTAGTAAAATATTTATAGTGTCTATTGTAATATCAATAAGTCATACATAAGTTTAAATATACAAAAATACTGGATATGTATATATACAATTTTGCGTTTTATACGAATAGTTGTTCTCAATATTTTACTAATAATTCATTCTACTATTTACAGTTCATTTTGACCTCTTAATAGTGACTTTTTGCTGTGAGGATAGGTAGTACATGTATTATAGTATATAATCAGGGATATGTATTTGGCCTCGATTTTTCACCAATTGCTTAGTGATACCAGGATTGGTATAATATATGTTTTAAATATTGAAATATTACCGGATAATGGATTGTATTTAGATATTTAGGAGGTGTTGCACTGAGTCATCTTCTAACTAACTGATTTTAGAAATAATAAATTGACACATTGTTGTTAGAATTTCGGCAAACTGTTTCGCAATGTTATCAAGCTTACAGAAAGTATCCATGAATTTCTCGTATAGTGATACCTAATTGTGTGTAATCAGTCCTCATGAAAATAATTGATTGAGACCTATTTTGAGTAGTACTAGTCTCCTTGCAATGTAGAAATGATAATATTAAGAATGCGAATATGAGCATAATCGGTATCGTTTGTTGTTATGTTCGATTTTTGTTTGTATATAGGTATAGGTTTCTTGATAGCCTTGGAAAGAAAAGCTATAGTATATACTATATATATATTTATGTGCTGTTTTAATATACAAATACAAAGTTTATCAAAGTTTATATACATTTTAAATTTCACAAAAATACAATTATCAAACTTCTAATTTAGTCAAACAACGTAATATTTACGTACTTGGAATCGCTAGAAAAATAAATTGTTATAATGCTATTATTACTAATAATACATTAAAAAACCGATGATAAGGCATTCTGATAGTAAAACTCGAGTGTAATTCACCATTGAGTAAGTCAATTAAGACTAAAATTAGAATTCAATGTTCGAAATTGATTTTGGAGGGTAACTGTGTACAGTGGCGTATCGTGGCGTGGGTGTTTGGGTGTTCCACTGTTCTGCGTCAAATCTGTATTGACTTAAACTTAGTAACATGTTTTTTGTATAACAAACATTTTTGTTAGTTTGCTTAATATATTTATAAAAGTATCTGTTTGACCCCATTAACTGTTATTTGGAACTCAAATCTTATAGTCCCCCCCCCCCTCATGGAAAAAATTACAATTTATAAAATTAATAAAAAATATATTGTCACTGTTTCAGGAATTTCACCCCTCTACTAAAGTGCCGTCCTAACCGTGGGCCTGTGTCACCTATTCTTTGAGCTGGGCAGTGCAGTATCTTTTAAGAACAGTTTTTTGATAATTTTTATCTATTCGTTAAGTATAATTTATGAGTAATATTTTTTTTATTCTTAGCAAATCGATGTCATGTGTGTGTATGTGTTTTTTATGTTCCACGTGTATAGTAATAGAAAAAACGATTCAATCTTCAACTTTAGGGATATTTTTTATTTCGTAGTTTTAAGATGTAAGACAAGATAATTCTTTTTAGGTCCAAGCTCTAAAGTTGTTTTACGGATTTGAAAATTGTATTTAATACAATTCAAAATGTATTAAACAATAATTTTAAAAAGAAAAATATTGCTTTTGTAAATTGACCGAGAAATTTTCAAACAAAAATAAATTAAAATATCAATGAATTAAAAAACTCAAAATTGTTTCATACCTAATACTGGAAAATAAATCATAAGATATTAATTAATAACATTTTTATTTAGGCATCTAAACATATTAAATCAATGGCATAAAATGAAATAAGTACTGACAAATATAAACACAATTTTGTGTTAATTGACTTATTTTAAATTCAATTATTATAATGATCATAATCGACATAATCTTCATTGCATGGGAATAAACTGATGCCAACATAATTACAATTCATTGTAGTACCTATAAACTGTATAAATATAACATATATTTGTTGTGAATTATGGCTTTGGACGTTTAAGTCATCAAAATATAAAGCATTTTGTAAGCTTGAAACCTATACACACTATTGTAATAAAACACGCTCACGCTTGATGCGTACATCTAATTACTTAGAATTTTTTTTATTAACGTTGTAACCACATGTTTGATAGTAGCAAAAATTCTTTGATCTTCGACTTTAAGAGTGGTAGCAAATTTTATCTAGTCGGAACGAACTTTCGCACGCATACATTTTTAGTACTTTTCAATACATTCAGGATAAATAAAATAATAAAGAAACACAGATTTTTCGCAAAACCGATTATTAGAAAAAATAAAAGTAATTTTTTTTAACACTTATTATATATATAAATACCAATAGAGAACTTTTTTATTAATAACTAACTGGATATGATGTAATATAAATCATTTTACCAGTCTAACTTCATACTAAATAACATTGTTATTATTTACTTATTATCTTACTACATATTATTAAAAACGAATGAATAATACGTACGTATCCTTACTGTAAATTATACTTGTTAATTAATTTATAACTATAAAAATAATAGTTTTCGTAAATGGATTAGGTAGCTATTTGGTCGAGTGATTTATACCACTACAGGTTAAACAGAATAACGAAAAAATAGATTTTATTCACAAAGGAATTCATAAAACGTTTACATAATATAATTATACATTATAAAATTATTATATAAGAAAAAAGCTGGGAACATCAAAAATCATTTGTGTGTTGAGATGGTGATAATTCTAGTGAATATTTATACTTGGAATTTTAAAAATGAAAAATTAATTTTATTAATGTCTAACTTAAACTTTTCTATCATGATTCATGAGACCAGATAGCAGTTATACCTATAGCAGCAGATTCAAATATAAATTGTATTTTATTTGAAGTTCATCATAATATATACTCACTCATGTTGTCTGGAAGAAATATATGTAATATACCAAAGTTAATAAAATAACAATAATTTATTATAAACAATACAACATTTAAAGTGATGTTCAATGTGATGGACATCTTAGGATTTCTCTACCATTAATGAAAATAATAAATTCCGATTTGTGTAGATATAAAAATTATTAATCTAACCCAAAATACCTATTCTATTTTAATATTAGGTTGTATAAGTACAATTTAATTAAGATTTAAGAGTATATATTGAATATTCTTATTATTTGTTTTGCTTCAAATTTGATTGGTATTAAATTTTTGGATAAATTCATGCACCATAAGTTTAATTGTAATTTGTAAACATAAAAATATAGCAATTTAAAATTTTTTTTTGAACCTGACATTTTTGGAAAAAAACTTCTCATACCAATCTAAATTAAAACTTAATGAACAACATGTGCTCAAACGTTTCTGAACTTCGATATCTTTATTTAATATTTATCTACTCATGGACATATTGAAATATTAAGATTGTACCAATAGACTATGAGAATACTATAATTTGAAAATCTAGTGCTGAGTATAATAAAAACAAAAATACACATACCAATAATTTCTAGACAAAATTACAATAATCATTAATAAGTCATTAAAAGTAGATATAGTAGTTGCTATGTAAAACTCAATTCAACATTTTCAATGAACGGAATATTTGTTTTTTTTTAAATAAAAGATTATTTGATTTTTCAAATATGCTGCAGGTAAACAGTGAAATGCAAATAATTACAGAAGTGGACGTAAAATCCGTATTGTTAGTCAATACAGATTATTTGTTGTATGTTGTTTGAAAAAAACATACTAGAAATAAATACATAATTAGGGGCTGCGACTTCATATTAGAAATTCAATTGAAAAAATTAATAAATTAAGTGCATTACGTATAATAATAGTTTTCATTTAAAAAGAAACTTATATTTGTATAATTCAGATGACAATTATTGAAAAATAAAAAATTAAGTACCTATGACATTATCTAAATAATAATAAAAAAAAAAATTAGTAAAGTGAGGTTAATATGTATGTTATTTTAATTGGATAAAACTTATTAAACACATAAAAAAAAAAAATGACAGCTTATTAAGTATCTATTATCGGCAATGAAACTTAACAAGTATCTAGTATAGCACTACAAATAATAATAATGTGTGATTATGATTTTATTGGGATCGAGATCAATAAAGTGAATAAACTATCAAATGATTTGCTACATTTTTATGTCACTATTCACTAATATTAATCACTCAATAATGAAATACTATAGTATAAAGAAGGTGAACATAAATTTTATTTATTATTTTTTTATACACTATCAAGATTTCGAACAGAATACTAAACTAAATCTTAGCCGTAGCTATGAAACTCCTGTAATACACTTAGCTGTTTGTTGTACTTATTGAACGAAACTTTCTAAGCTTTCGAAACCTATATCATTCTTTGTTATTGTGTTTTTTTAAAGTGAAAAACTTCCCCTTGGTTGAATCTTCTCCACCCTTGAATCAAGGGAGTAAATGTTTGAAAATATAACCCACATAGAACATAGTGGTCATAATATTTTTATTTTGTTGTTTCTCATTATTTTATGTGATTAAGAATGTTGAAACAAGGGCGACGTTTTCGGGCATTTGAGTTTTACGTAATTTTAAATGGCATGTTTATATTTCTAAGCTTTCTTTCTATATCCATTGCACTCGTCAAATGCAAAACTATTCAATATTAATAGACATATAGTAAGTGAGAACTTGCCAAATTTTTCTCACCAATATTAATTCATTGTTGAAATACTTGCAGTATCTGAGTATACTACATTTATAGACAATTCGTTTTTAAGAGGCCGTTCTGTTAACGAATTTCGACCGTATAAACATGCTTTCGTGCTTCAAGTTTTCCTCAGTTCTGGGTAGTCGTAGAAACACAATTTTTCACTAAAATAAACGTTTTTTTAATGTTCACTTACGAAGAACATTGTATTAAAATTTTTAAGTTTGTCAACAGATGGGAAATGTTATCAACGTTAATTATAAAAAAGAGGCGAAATTTTTTTTAAATTTTACGGTGTATTAAAAATGCTAATATAGACATTTGGTGGAAATTTCAAGTATTTAAAAAAACAACATCGATTTTATCGAAAACTGATTTTGTTTCAAAATGCTTGTATTTATTTTTTTTTATGACGCGTTTGAAAACTACTTGAATTTTAACCTCCTAAATGTACAATAAATAGGTTCACTTTTTCATTCGAAAAGTTACTGAAGTTGAAGTTCGTATAATTATTTCGACTTTCTATTTCTATCGTACACACACAACAAAATAGTTATGTTATACAAACTACTGTGACACAAACATAGAACACTACCAGATATTTTTAAAATCGAATAAAATTTTAAACTTATGAATCATAAATATGTACTAACAAGTAACCGTTAATTGTTTATACGAGTATAAATAGTGGGAATTAGGTAATTTTTACATTTTAGCCGTTTCTATGGTGATAAACAAAGCATAACAAAAAACCGGTTAGAAAAATGAAAAAATGTGTAAGCACCCAACACAAATAAATATTTATGTCAAAAAAAAACAAACGTCATTGTAAAAATAACACATTGGTCACTTCGCTCAGAATCTTAAATTAAAATTCAATATCACATGTTAGATTCTGGGCAGAACGGTGAATGTAGGTATTGGTTTTAATACTAGTAAAAATGTAAAATGATGTGTTTTTTTTATTTCTTGCGGCTTGAGTACACTATACATAGTTGAGATAATTCTTCAATTTTCAACTAACAACTTCAGTAAATTTTCTGGTAGCAAAGTGACCTAGTTGGTGAATTGGAAAAATTAAAATTGGCATTTCCAAAAAGCGGGAAAAATAAAGAAAACCATTCTTTAAACTTAAAGTCGATAGATTTGGTTACCGTCTCTCTCTACGGTGGCATACTGTGGCATACCGCACATAACATCATCTCTTGAGAGTTGTATATTTTTCACTTTTACCAGAACAAGGGTTATGAGTTTATGACACTGTGTGAATTGATTGAATCGGGCGGTTGAGGCCTCGCACATCGTCTTGGCGTACATGAAATAGGAAATTTGAAACAGTAAACGTTCAGATCATGGTAAACAAGAACCCGATCAACTGATCTAATGTCTCTTCTATATTGTTCTACTCCAGAACGCACTCTTGAACCACAGTTTATATCTCAAACGACAATGGTATCTATTGGATAAAATATTAAGCTTCAGATACAACAGTTGCACATTACATGAATTAAGAAATCCAGAATTCATTAAAGTACCTATATTATTTTCTCAAAAATTGTCACCAAAATACCTGTGGCTAGACCATCGATATTTAATATTATTTACATCTATGTTTGGTAGGTAGTCAGCAATTTTTATCACAAAGTAGTCAAAGTAGACAAGTACAGACTAATAACTGTAGACTTAACATTTTAAATGTATACATTAAAAAATTTTCTTCGATTTACATAATTATAAAAAAATTATATACAATAAATTATAGGTGTGATTGCCTGCCCTATATAATCAATCCAAATTACACTAATATGTAAACTGTTAAAAAACTAATTAACATTTTCTATTTAATGAATTA